CCGGAACAAACACGGCTTGCGGACAGACAGACAGGCATACAATAAAAGTTAAATGCGATTTTCGTTATATGCGACGCAATCATATTCCCGAAATCTGTAATTTTTCTTTTGATATTACAAACAGACACTCAAATTTAATTTTATGTATAAAAAAGAAAAATAAAATTATACAATGTTTAATCGAAAAAAAAACTAAAAACTCAACACCCTGTAACTCACAACTTAACAGATTAAATAAAAAACACCCAAATAAGCTTAAACGTGTGAATTATTATGTATACCGAGCATAAATTTAAATGTATAATCGATATTTTACGAAATATTGATTACTTTTTACCTACATTTAACTAAAAAAATTTAATTTTTTTTCAACTTAATTACGACTGTATGTGAGAAATGTATGACTACCGTAGCCCCTGCCCGTAACGCCGCGCTGGGTAGTGGGCTTTTTGCTTATTTTCCTACATCATCTAAATGTCAAAAATAATAAACTATATTCAAATTCCGCAAAATGTCTATTATTTCAATATTTCTTTAAAGGTTTTAGTGCCCTGGGCGATCTCAAGCTTCGCCCCCTTTATCTCGCTTGGGAGGTTTACTTATGCAAGATTGAGTAATTCGCTGACTTTGGCGCCCCTTTCTGTGCAGCCCTGGGCGATCGCCCAATCGCGTCCTACTTTAACAGCGCCACTATTTATTAAATTATTAAACAAGGGTTGTGGTATTAGGTTAGTGATTACTAAGCAGGTGTCCAAGGACCCATGGAAACATTGAGTTTATACATTGGTGGGAAATAAAGTTGTAGATTTACAAGGTAATAAAACAGCACCAGACATAAAGGTCGAGCAAAAGCAAGTTAGAGAATCTCTATATATATATCTCTATATGTTATACTAAGTATTGCCAAACCAGAAATAAAAAACAACACAACTGTGCCAAATTTTATCGAAATCAGTTGACTTTTATGATATAACTTCAAACATCCATCCATTTAAACTTTCATATTATAAACTAAAGTGCGTGCGCACACCTTCGACTAAATTATCGCAATGTTTAGTTGCGATTTGATTGCTATGAGATTATATGTAGGTGCGCAGACTACTCTATTTTTTATATGCACCTAAACAGTTGAATTTGCTGCGAAACAATCAACAGTCGCACAACTGTTGTGCGATACTTTAGTCAAAGGTGCCCGCCCACTCTTAAAGACTTTACTACTTGAATAAATGTTAAATAATTTGCAAACTGTCAATGCCAT